TCCCTCCGCAGGCAGGTGTAGGAGAGTCCCTCTCCCCGAAATCTTCCCCCCACGGGGGCTGTATCTCCTCCTCCCCGGGGACCAGGGCAGGGCGCGGGGGTCCCCTCCCGAGAGCTGTGCCCCCACGGCGCGGGACCTGGGAGCGGATCCCCAGCCCCGGGCGTTTCGGTGGCCTCTCAGCGCACAGCAGCAGCTTATGCTGTACCTGCAGGGAGCAGCCAGCAGTGGGAATCCCCCCCTTCCATGCTCCCCCCTGCCCGCCTGGCAAACCCCGCCACCGCTAAAGGAAGGGCTTGGTCCTGGGCATCTTCAGGCCGATGGGTCCAGGGACACACAGCAATGGGGATGAGGCACTTTTGGATGACCAGAAAGGAGGCGTCTCCCCGGTCCTGCCCCAGAGTATGGTTGATGGGGATCCCATCCTGCAGGAGCCGGAAGGTCAGCCAGCCCCGCTCCCCACCCAGGGACCCAGTGGGGGATCCTCAGCCCTACCCCAGCCCCATGGGCATCCCGCACAGGACTTCCTCCAGTGGTGTGCAGCCACCAGCCCTGCACACGTGGGACGTGCAAGGTTGCAAGCCCGGGGTGACAGGGTGTTTGAGACTGGGCTACAGGCAAAGGATGAAGGGTTTCCTCCTTCTCTACGCATTTCTAATGGCTCCCTTGAGACAAACCAAACGACTGCCCGCTGGGAAGCCTCGCTGAGCTGTAAGTACAGGGCTTTTTATTTGGACTGTTAATCTAAACCCATTGTACCTGGTTGGAAAAGCCCCTGTGTGCAATACTCCCTGCACTTGCTGCATCCTCACTCGAATATCTATTAGCATCTTCCTTCCCACTCCCTTGGGTCCCCTCTGACAGTTAGAATAAATATACATAACTTCCATTTGAAAGCCTTTAAGAAAAAAATACGTTGTCAAGGGAAACTCTTCTAGCATTTCTTACAGATATGCTTGATCCGTTTTTATATTTTTTACTGTCAAATGCATATATCAGAGATTTTTTTCACCACAAGATACATATTCATTTGAACGGTCAACCCAGCTCACACTGGGCTTGTGTAATTCTGATGGTTGTCTCCTTAAAATAGATCACAATATATTTCAAAATTTATCAGAAAGACACTGGCTTTATCTGTTCTATTTTTCAAAGCACTCATGGAAATTCTGCGTTAACTAAAGGCAAATTTTGCAAATTCACACTATTCCAGACAGACACATTTGTATTCTCTGTGCAATGTGCTTTAAAATAAAGAAACACCCAACCTTCCCAAAGTAAGCTTCTGTTTCCCAGCAGATACCCCTGCAAATGCGAGACGGGCGCATGCTTTGATGATCTAACGGGGGAGATCACACCGAGTCTCAGCTCAAACCCCAGTTTAGTTCTAAAGCTGAGCTTAGCTAGTCGTGAAACGAGTAGGCAAAAGAGTTATAAAACTATTAATTGCTGCTTTAGGTTCCTAGATGAAAGCTGTGTGTGGGCAGAAATAATTTGCTCTATTCAGAAGAGAACATCAGAAAGGAGCATCTCAGACAGTTTGTGACCCTTCTCCTCGCTCTGCTTCCTGCACGGGAGGGAGAGAGGGATGGAGGGATTTCCCGGGGGTACAAACATTTGCAGGGTTCTGACACCCACTTTTTGTCTTGAGCTGGGACAGAGGTGGGAGCCGGCTCCCTCCTGGCTCTCGGCGGTTTGGCACGTCTCACCCAGAGCCTCAGCCGCCCAGCACAGCCATGCACTGGGGAGGGTCCTGCTGAGCTGGAGCATCAACTTAGCCTTGTCCTGACATCCCAGCACAGCCCCCGGTAGCCCACCGGGCTGCCCTATGCCCCAGCCCAGCCCTAAGGCCACCTTGCCTTTGATTTTGGTGGCATTTGGCCTGGCCTCCCAGAGCGGCTGGCGTATAGGGAGGGTGCAGAGAGAGGCTGAGGACAGGTGTGGGATAAGCTGGAGCCCACAGACCCACTCCGTGGTCCGTGTGTGTGTGTGTGTGTAGCCTGAATGCATGAGCATCCTTCTGGAAGGAATCTGGATTAGTCATCCCCACCCCACAGATGGGCTGTGTGATGTCTTCCCTGGAAAAGCTAATCTGTCACAGAAATTCCAATTTGTCCCTGAAAAGGAGTGTTTACACCCCTTTTTCTCCCTTGTTTTTGTCTTAAGCATTAAAAAAGTTGATCCTTCTCTTTTTTTCTCCCCTTCGAAAGACAAGATGGTGAGTCCATTAAGCTCTGAGGCTTCTCACAAGCCGGTTGCCTCCTTCAGACAAGGTGTAATGGGAAGCGCTGGCTCTGTGGTGCAAAGCCTGTGTCTTTAAGGAGCCCTGGCTGGGAGATGCAGTGGAGTTAGCAGATGCCTTTGCCAGGCTATTTCACACAATTCTGGCATTTGCTGCACCCACAGTCCTGCTCAGTTAAAAACATACCTCTGGGGTTTATTTCTAACCATTACTCTGGTCCCTGTTACTTTACAGCTCTGCTCTGACCTCCAGATTTAGATGTGAAAATGCCCCCCAGGTCCCTCTCGCTCTGACAAACCTTTTACTCTGTGTTTCTCAGGCTGGAAAATATGCAGATCCCTTTTCCTGCTTTGGTGTTTGCCCAGAAACCCCATGAGATGTCTGGCGAGGGACGCAGGGCTGGGGTACAACAGAGTCTGCAGGGGAACTGGGATTCCCCTGGGCAGGGGGGACCCGCCTCATGTCACTGATCTGGCCTTGGCCTTCGGTGGCTGCTGTTGGATGGGGTTGTCCTGTACGGGGTCTGGTGGCACCTTGGACCATCACGGGGTCTGCTGCAGCCTTTTCCCTCTGCTCCTGCTGCTGGCCCACGGCCTCTGTCCCTGTGTCACTTAAAAGTTTGAAAACTTCAGTGGGTGACACAAGACAGAGAAGGTGAGGGATTTTTCTAATAAGCAACTGGCTGATTAAAACCAGAGAGGGAAGCCTTTGAGATGGGAGACAGGCCAGTCTGGAGGTCACAGACGCCTCACTGTCTGCTGCAGCAAAAGCGTCAGCGGCTGCAGAAATCGCGTCGGTACCAGCAGCAACCCTGAAGTGCGAGCAGAGCTCAGGAGCAAGTCATGCCTAATAGTGGGATTTTTCCAAAGTAGCTGATGCGTGGGGAAAAATGCAATTCCTGAACCAAAAGAGCACCAGGAGCGGGGGACCGCATGGGTACAGGGCTGCTCCGCGCGTCCCCAGGTGTTTTGACGAATAAGGTAGGTGGGGAAGCCTGATTTCAAGGTGACACAGGAAGATCACAAACCTTTTTATTTGCCTTTTTATTCTAAGCTTCTGGTAAGACTGGTAAATGCGTTTGAAGGTGTGGGAATGCTGCTCTTTGTTGGATGCTTTAACTGCTGCTCATTAGAAAATGGAATTTCTGCTGGACAGAAAAGCCCAGCACCCTGAAATTTAAAATCCTGAAACATACTAGAAATTGAGACTTTGGGTTTTATTTCCCTACCAATGTACAGGTTTTTGATTCAGAGTCATCAATGATTCTGAATCACGTTTCTGTTATGTTTCGACATTATAAAAATGATCTTACTGTTTTACATGACAGAGCACACAAGAGGAAACAAAGCAGGCAGATGAATTGTTTTGATACTTCTTCCACTGAAATTCTCCCTAAAACTGACACCTTCTGTGAAAACACTTTGGTTTTGGCCAAAACTGCCTTTGCTGCTGAGTAGATAGCAGCATTGAAGGACTTTTTGACCAGGTCTAATGAGCAACGTCAAAGCTCTTTGGCAGAAGCACTGTGGCCGTCATTTGACACGATCTGTTTTTTCCATGGGGGAGGGTCTTTGGGGGATAAATCCTCTCGTCAGTGACTAATTATGTATTTGAACAAGGAAAGCCCCGTGGATGAGGTGCTGGAGGTGCAGTAAACTGCCTTCCTTAGGGCCATTAGCAAAGGGAGAAACTTTAAGAGGTTAAAAAAAGCAAGGAAAAGTTTGACCTGGAAAAATAATTGGCTTTTTTTTTTCCTTCCATACCACAAAAGAACTGCCTAAAGCTGTTTCTTTCCCTTCCTTTCTCCCTGGTCCTCACTTTCCAAAATGCACACATCCCTCCTCAGTCCCCAGGGTGCTTCTGGCCCTCTTCCCCCCACCCTGCGAGCGCCCGGAGCAGGGGAGCCCCGCGTCCCCTCCAGCCCCGCTGTGTCTCTCCTGCAGGTGGAACCAGCTCCCGCTCTGCCGATCATGGTCAACAAGACCTTAAATTACTGGGGTCCCAGTTTTGAGGAGGACGTTATCAACATCAACGTGGGGGGTCTGAGACGGCGGCTCAGCTCCAGCGCCCTCTCCAAGTTCCCCGACACCCGCCTGGGACGCCTGCTCTCTTGCGACTCGGAGGAGTCCATCCTGCAGCTCTGCGACGACTATGACGTGAGTGCCAGGGAGTTCTACTTCGACCGAAACCCTGGCTTCTTCCTCTATGTGCTCCACTTCTACCAGACAGGGAAGCTGCATGTCATGGAGGAGCTGTGCGTCTTCTCCTTCTGCCAGGAGATCGAGTACTGGGGCATCAACGAGTTCTTCCTGGACTCCTGCTGCAGCTACCGCTACCACGAACGCAAGCTGGAGAGCCGGCACCACAACTGGGACGAGGAGAGTGAGGTCAGCAGCGTGGACACGTCCCCCGATGAGATCTCCGACATCAACCACGACCTGCTGCACTACAGCACGCTGCGCTGCGGCAACGTGCGCAAACGTCTCTGGCTCACCATGGAGAACCCTGGCTACTCCATCCCCAGCAAACTCTTCAGCTTCGTGTCCATCAGCGTGGTGCTGGTTTCCATAGCCACCATGTGTATCCACAGCATGCCTGAGTACCAGGACATGGATGAGAACGGCAATGTGCTCGATGAGCCCATCCTGCACAAGCTGGAGTATTTCTGCATCTCCTGGTTCACCTTCGAAGTGTCTTCCCGCCTCCTGCTCTCCCCCAACCCCAGGAAGTTCTTCAAGCACCCACTGAACCTGATTGACATTGTCTCGGTGTTGCCCTTCTACTTCACCCTCTTGGTGGACGTGACCATGGGCAGTGACTCAGAGTTGGGCAACCTGGGCAAGGTTGTGCAGGTGTTTCGTCTCATGAGGATATTCCGGGTGCTGAAGCTGGCTCGGCACTCCACCGGACTGAGGTCGCTGGGGGCCACCTTGAAGGTAAACCGGCTCTCTATCTCCTTATCAACTCCTTTAGTCTCTGGGCAAGAAGGAGGCCTCTGGTATGTCTGGGAGATGTGGACATACCCATTCCCAGTGAGCTACCAGCTCTGGGTGGTGTCTGGCAAGCTTGCTTGGGGTGGTGGGCTGGGATTGGTGTGTCTGCTAAAGCAACCAAGCGTGAGGAGCACTGCCTGAGTCCTCTTTGCACACACACTCAGAGCAAACAGCAGTCCATCCCCTTGCTTACAGACTGTGCTTCACCCAGAGATGGTGCTTCCAGGGATTCAGCCATCCCTTCCCCACCGTGGTGTGTAAGTCCCATTGCACAGTGTTCGGACGGACTCAGCCACGCATGGATGGATAGTGATGTGCCACCAGAAGTGAGTCAGTGCCTAGTTGGGCTGTGACCGACCTGCTGAGCAGGGACCAGGCCAGCCAGCAGCTGCTGGGTATGCCAGCACTGGTGCGTGCGGCTTGGAGCTGCTGCTGTCCATAGCCTGAGAGAAGGGAGAACCTCCGAAGGGCATGCTGCCAGCTGGCCGGAGGCCAGCGTCCAACCCTTGGTGTCTGCCCATCTAAGGAGACATAGAGATCCTGGTCCAGCTGAGCTGACACTTGGATGCTCCAGGAGATGATGAGGTTGGGACTGGCATGTGGTTAATCATGGGTGGCACAAAGCAGCAATAGAAAAGCAAAGGGTTAGCTGCAGGGTCTGTGTCCCCAGCAGAGCCTGGGCTACCAGCAGCTCTCCCTCAGTGTGCTGGAAAAGCTTGAGGAAAGCACGGTGTGCAGGGCTGGGGGTAGCTGGCCCCAGGACCACACGGTCCTCAGGAGGAAGAGCTGGATGAGGAGATGCTGGGACAGTGAAGGGCCTGGGTCCAGGCATGGCGAGAGGTGGCACCTCTGCAGGTTTGGTGAGAGGTGGTCCTCATCCTCCACAGTGTACCCCAAGGCTGTGTTTCTCCAGACCCTCTCTGCGGCACTCCCAGCCTCCAGGGCCAGACCAAGGGCAGCCATGGCAGGAGTCAAAGCATGAAGCTATCATGAAATCCTCACTAGCCTGCTGCTGCAGCCCAGACCTCCATCGCTGCAGTTCAGCTGTGCAGCGTGGACCAGCCACGGTGCCCTGTGTGGCTCCCTGCTCTCCCCCACCATTGCTCCCTCCTTGTGCTGAGAGCCACATGCCCAAATCTGGGGAGGGTGAAACTGTCCCCTCACCTCCTGCGCTCACACAGAAACCCCAGCTTGCTGCAGAGGCCGATCCTCAAGCCTGCCAAGAGGCAGAGCGACACGTGCTCTCGATGCCCCACCATGTGCAGGGCTTGGGCTGGGCACAGGGAGGAGGCCACCAGGGCAAACATCCCTGCTCCTCGCGGGGCTGCCTCTGGTCCCCACTGGTTTTCCAAGCACTGCTCATGCAAAGATCCCTGTGCTTTCCCCTCCTTCAAACAAATGGCCAAGGAACACAATCTTCATAACAGAGCTTGAAATCCAACCAAAGGGACGCTCACTTCATGCTCAGCGTCTTGCAGGCACCAAAGCTGCAGGTCCTAGTGCTGCTCCCGCTGAAGGGCCATGGCAGGGATGAAGCTGGCACAGCTGTGGCTGGGGACATCCCCCTTCTCGCTGCTGCAGCAGTGGTGGGGCCGGCCTGGGGTGTCCTGGTGTCAGCAGGACTCAGCTGCCAGGGCTGGACCCATTCCTGCGGGAGAGCCATGGAGAAAAGCAACCCTTGAGTGTGGCTGGGGATGAGGATGGGTGGCAGGAAAGGTCTTCCACCAACTTTTGTTGAGAAGCAGGACAAGTGCAGCCCAGCACTAATCCTGCAAAGCCCAGAGGACTTCAGAATAAGTGTGGGGAAAAAAAAAATCCCGGCGTCCTCAAAGAAACAGAGTCCAGGGAGGATTGTTTGAAATGAAGATGCCTGAAGTCTTACCTGTATCACGTATACTGCTGAACACTCACCTTGAAAGAGCAATTAGCAAGTGACAGACCCGTGTGACACCGCTTGCAAAATTTAAATGAAATTGTACACGTGTGAAGGGCTCCCCGAACCCTTTCCATGCTCCATTTAAGTGTGAACAATACACACTGCAGCAGTGCAGGGACTGATGGGCTCATCTGCATGTTATTAAGCAGCAGGCGAGATCCAGGGAGCCAGCAGTGTCCCAGCTCCATTCTCTGCTGAGCCGCTGATTCACCCAGTGACGTACTGGAAAGTGCCTCTTCCCGGGGACTCCGGAGCCAGCTGTAAACGGGAATGAGCGAAGACACAAATCTGACGCAGCAGCTTGGCGTTGTGATTTACTGGGCACATAAATTACAACGTCTTGTTAATCATAATTTACTTCCTATTGCAAGAGCATAAAGCAGCAGCAGAGGAGTAAAGGCTGTTAACGGCCAGGAAGAGGGAGCGATGGCTCTGGCAAGCCGAGTAATTGTTCCCCTGCCACGAAAGTGCTAGTAGAGGGATTTCTGTCATTGTGCATCATAAACTCTGAACCGTCTTCAGATTGCTTGGGGCCTGATCCAGAGTCTATTTAATTTGAGCAGAGGCTTCCCACACGTCTCTGCTCTCCCTCCCTGCCGTGCACAACATTCATTACTGTTATTTGCAGCTTCCCGGGTGCGGGTTTGGTGCCTGTCTCCCACTGGCAGTCAATAGGTGTTAGGCACTGAGTAATTCAGGCATCCACAGGGATCTACAGGAGTTGCTCTCTGTCCCCTTTGGGGCTTAAATACACAAATAGGTTGGACCAGCCAGAGCTGCACGTCTGCAGAAAGTGGATGCATCACCCCGCTGTCGCTACCACGGGCCATCTCTGTGCTTGGTCCCCACGCTGGTATCTCCAGACAGGCTCTTCCATTTCATTTGTCTTCTGCTATACTGGAGGAAAGATGTGCATTCAGCAGGGGAAGGAGCCCATGCATGACCCATGGCTCTCCCAAAGGCAGGCAGACCTCCTGCCAGGGCAGGAGCCCAAAGAGACTGCTGTTGGGGTGACTGTTTCCTTGGAGCCTTTTATTACCCAGCATCGCCTCCCCCAAGCCTGCATCCCACCCAAACCACGGCTAAAACTGCATCCCCAGCCAAACTCCAGCTGTGGCTGCCTGCCCCTGGATCAATGAGCAAACCACACGTTTTGAGGATAAATGGCTGCAAATAGGTGGAAGCCAGTGCCTGAGGATCAGCTGGGAGATTGCTGGAGCCTCCCCTGTGCCGCAAGCCCTGACTGACCCTGCTTGTAAATTAAAGCAGTAGGAGCTATCGAGCTGCCTAACTCCCCCCTCACCTTCACTCTCCAACGCATCCCAGGGCCATAACTGATACTCTTTAAAAATGTATAAGGTTATCTGGCTCTGCTGCTCCCCAGCTGGGACGTACATCTGTGGTGTTAAGCTCCAGCTAGGAGCAAGTCTTTCCCAGCCAACTGATTCATCCTTGAAACTCGGTGGCTCTGAGCTGTTTGTCCTTCCCAAGGAGCTCCCTCGGAGCTGCTATAGGGCATTTGCAGCCACAGGCGATGGCAGAGGAGGAGATCATTTCCCCTTGCTATTACTGGCATTAGCTGAGCAGCTTTTGCCACCAGTCTAAGCAAAGTCTCACTCCCTGCCATGAATCCACCTCCTTTATGTCTCATCTTGACCACGGAAGCTCTTTTCCCACGTCTTCTGCTGTTTGCTTTGCTCAAATGTTGTTTTGTTTAGTCATTATGTGGTCTCCAGTAAAGCATTCCCTGGCTGTTAGGAGACTGGGAAAAAAACCCCTGTGATCAGAGCTCTGCTTTCCTTTCCCCAAAAGACAAAGAGCCAAGTGGCAGATCAGCGGGCAGAAACATCCAAGAAATTCGCTTGTGACAATGAAGAAGCGAGGGGACCAGCCGTGTCTTGAGGACAGCGGTGGCTTTGAGCAGGTCAGCCTGGACTTGCCAGAAAATGGGGGCTCTGCAGTCCCCTCCTGGTCTGCAAGGCTACAAGAGCCGGCTGTGCCAGGGGTCCCCATCCCCGCTGCATGCTGGGCTCTCGGCTCACACCTCACGGGGCAGGGGCAGAAGCTGGGTGCTGGATTTGGCCCAGCGCTGGCCCATGGCAGTTTTCCTGGTCCCAGCTCATCCCCTGGCAGTCCTCTTCCTGGCACCACTTGCTGCCTTGTCCCCTGACTGCCCACTGCCTTTTCCCACCTCAGGTTTTTGGCATGGGTTTATATTTTGCTCAAAAATTAAGAAGTCTTCTGAACTCTGCTAGCTGGAGCACTCCGACTCCTCCTACCCAGGTGTGTAATGAAGGTTTAAATGGACCCTGGGACTGTAGCTGGTGCTGGGGTATAGGAGGGAGCAGGTGAGTCCCCGGGGTTCTGGTTGTGGGGTCCTCTGCAGCCAGGGAGCCAGGACTGAAGGGCCAGAGCTGAGCCTGCAGCAGAGGAGCGCATCATCCCTGCGAGCACATCGCCAGCATCTCGGGAAAATACAAATCGCTTCACTGAGATGCTGCCTGTTAGGTGGTTTCTGGGGACCTGCCAAGATAAAAGGAAAATATGTCTAAATATTGTTAGGTGAGATCAGGACGGAGCGAGCACTGGCGGCAGGGGAGCAGCTGGGAACCCTGGCTGGGAAGCACGGGTGTCCTTTCCCTCCCAGCACTGCCTCCTCCTCACAGGCTGGGTGAAGGCAGAGGGGTGGCTCAGGGAACCAGGGTTGATTTTCCAGCTGCCTGACTTGCTCCAGGTGTGGGCCACTCACCCCCCGCCCTGACCCACAGCCAGACGTCCCATGGCAGAGATGGAGAGAGGCACCAAGATCCCCGACGGAGGCAAGCGGGGGGTCTGCATGCAGGGCTGTACTTGCACTGTGGGATCCCGGTGTCCTGGGCTGTGCCGGGTGCGGTGGCACTCGCTGACCACCGCTCT